TCTTTCTCCTCTTATGCTTCATCCATATTTATAGGGAACGAGTCCCGTTCGGTAATTAATAGTAGCAGCATTCTCTGTGGCAAGATGGAGACGAGTCGTTGTAAATAATTACGATCTTTTCGTTTTTCATCGCGCCTGCGTCTACCGAGGTAATCGGAGCAACTTCGTCATCGTCTCTACGGTGAAAAATCACAATAAAAAAAATAGGAACGTTTACACCGACAATTCATAAAGCAGTGTCGTTTCATCGTATTTACGAACCGGTCACGCCGCCGGCCGAGGTAGAAAGATATTAAAGTGATTTCCGTCCGCTCGCCACCGCGCCCGCGTCTCGCATTGCGTCGCCACGCTAATTGCTCCAGGAATACCGGTAGCCGGTGAAACACCTACTTAAACTAGTATGCCGCCCGACAATCACCTCGCGTGTAAACGCCTCGCGGGTTTTCGCACCCGGAAAAGTGCCGGCGATTAAATAACACGGTTATTGTGCTCTCTTGTCGCGCGATGCCATTTCGAACTCGAATTTAACGATAAAATTGTTGAATGACAGACGTAGAGAGTTATAGAGACCTGTAGAACTTGCAGATTATATGAATCAAATATTATTATAAGTTATATATCAATTAAAAATATTATTAGTACATATTATTATAAGATTATCATTAAATATTGTGTATTATCTTGTTTCAATAATCAGATTGTTAATTTGATTACTTTATTTCAAATCTCTTTGATACCAAATTATTAGGGTTTTCTATATATGGGACCAACTTTTATTTACGTCCACACAAAGTTTACAAAATTTTCAAAACCTACGTTGAAATTTACAGTTAACCCTTTATTACTCACGTGGAATGGCCAAGCACTCCCATTTAAAAAATTTGCTAAATATGATTACTGTTTATTCACATTATTATATATATTTAATGCAAACTGTTTTACAATTTAAAAAATAATTTTACATTTATCTTTCTCGAAAGGATTACAGAACGTTATTAATCTTTATTTAATTGTAAATCATCAAAGAGAACAATGAAAATTAAGGTATAATGTTGGAGTATCAGAAAGATATTCGTAAGTAATTGCATTAAAAAAAAACCGCGGGAGTAATGTAGAGTTAAATATTTGTAGTGAGGATAATTTCACAAATAAGATATTTTTTTGGGAGAGAACGCAATTCAGATGCAACGAGACAAACGAAATAACTTATGAATTTTATTTGCTGCAGCTTTTGTGTTTGCTCTATCGCTTAATACGTGTAAGAACAGTCATCAAGCTTGTACCTAATTAGGAGCTCGATTCCTCGGTACTTTTGAAGAGATTGCCGCGACGCGTTTGCATCGGTCGCGACTTTCTTGCGGCTGTAGCGGATAACTTTCTCGCCGTAAATGTTTCGATACCGCCTCGATCGGCTTCGTAAATTTCCTACGAAGTCGGAAACGGGATTTCGTCTCGATTCATCTTGCCGGCAATTACCGGTAATGCCACATGATCCGCGTTCTCGCTTACCGATGCGCCCGATTCTTGGTGCTTCGAAAGAGACGCGATTATTCTATGATTGTATCGGAACGCGATTCCGAAGCCTAGTATCCTTAAAAGTATACAAGATGCCGATGTATACCTTACTCTTCAATACCATACGTATTAAAATAATCCCTGTATAAAATTAGCACTACATAAACTTAAAATTGGAAATTATATATAAAACTTCATTTATATTTGAAACGTTCTTACAATCAGAAAAAAATAAATGTTAAAATTAACACAAAAAGAATTTAGATAATTACCACATATATTGTGCATATATTTTCTCTTATATTTTCTCTATTTCTTATTCTTTGAAATAGTTCCTATTTTTCTGATTCTCCGAAATCTTCAGCGGAAAATAAATCTACGATCAAAATTGCGAGAGAAATAATGATTTGCTTTATTCCTCGGGATAGTTCTCGCTTCGTATTCTCCGTAATCCCCGGCGGAAGACACGAATTCGAGCAGCGGTACACCCGGTTGAAACAGTGGCAGGTTTCCAATTAGGATGGAGGCTCCTTCTCTTGAATAATGCCACCGAGGTCTCCTTCTCTTTCGGCCGTGCGATTGACTTTCCGTCGTGTCTTCGTCTTTCCCTTGTATAAATTAGTCCCAGCCATCACATAATGGCGTGTCGATGCGCTACTGTCCCCCCTTTCTAGTTTACTCTTTTAAGTTTTTTAATCTTTCATCTATCTTATTCTTCTCTCTCTCTCTCTCTCATTTTTTAAGCACCTATTCGCATCCTTCTTCGTCTTTCCTTTTCGTTTCTCTTCCACTGACTACGTATTTAGCCGTTCCTCTCGGAGCTTCAGTTGGCACCATTCTGTTTTCTTCATCGAAACCGCTCGCCCGCTCATCAGACCGGCCCGCTTAATTTACGACCAATTAATTTGGATAAACTGAATGAGTGGAGACCTGCTTTCGATGCACGCGTTAACCGTGAATATTTCTCCCCTCCGCTCCTATCCTTTTCGGTCCATCTCATTCAACACGTATGTTTTTGTTTTGTTTCTTGAATCTTTCTGACGGGCGTATTTGACTTCATAACGGTGATGTTATTAAAATACATCGAGAACGTTGTTCTTCGAATAAGAATAGGGAAGTGGATCGCGTATATTTTTTATGTAATCAGAAATATTATACACACACGTAAAATAAAATATAAATATAAACATATCGAAAATAAAAAGACTTTTTGATATCTCTTGTCGGCACTTAATGCTTAAACGTGTTCGCATATTTGTGTAAATAAATGTGTAGTATTGCTAACTTTCGGGGCACGCGGTAAAAAATAAAATAAAACTCGAATACGATGTAAATAAAACATACAATTATCTTTAAAAGACTAAAAATCTTTGTAAAAAATTAAAAATCGGGTGTTATGAAAGTCTGAAAAGATGAAAAATTCAACTCCATTTTATGCCGAAAGCTTTCTGACTTGGAAGTCGACGACGCTCCGAGATTGAAAAAGAGAGGAGAAAAAGTTATTGATATCCGTTGTTCCACGTAATGAAGACGCAGACGTTATTCCTCTGTTGAGCGACTTACGTTTTATGAATCACATTGTTAGCGGCGCGGCCGTTCGCAACAACGAGTAGCTTTACTACCCGGCGAAGTGCGTGGCGTCCGGTGTCGTCGATGGACCTGCTTGGTATTCCACTCCGGTTCGAGAGCATAATTGGACGCCAACTGGCGACGCTCCTCCGCGTATCGCGAAGACAAGAAATTATTCTTTAATTAATTGTCAGCGCTCAATGTGGCCGTATGCGTAGGATCGGCCGGCTCGGTACATAAATTTTATCTATATGGGAGCGCCGACTGAGGCCGTGCTGGCCGAGAAGCGGAGGCGACTGCCACGGCTTTGGAGAACGTAAGCAGGGAGAAGGAGAGAACGCGAGGGATCTCCGAACAGCTTCCGATCTACACGGGTGGCGAATATCTGGCGCCTGTTTGTAAAGCCTTTAACGGCGAGTCGTCGCTCTTAAAGGATCTCTTTGCGCTTTGCCACCTGTCTCATCATTGGTTCCTGAGTTGTTCTCGTTGCGTGTTCGATTCCTGATTTGACGGAAGAATCCGGTCGTTCTCAATTAATCGATAATTTAATGCGCGATTCAAAGATTTACAGATTGAAAGAAAGAGATTTAAAGATCTACAAATCTAATTTCTCTAAATCTATAATAGGGAAGATTATTTTTCTAATTTTCTTTCTTTACCTTGTTAAGAAATTGTTGTTAAGAAATTGATTGCCCCTATACATTAAAAAAAAGTAATAAATTTTAATAAATATTTGGTTGAATAGGTCTAAGCAAATATTTACTAAATGTAAATAAATATTTATTTGATATGAAAACCATTAATTTGATTTAACTATATTTATTTACTACAGGTAAATGTTTACTTAATACTATTCAAAGAAATATGTATTAAGATGAAGTAAATTTTCTTTCAGCGTAGGAGCTATCGCAACTATTAGTTCGTATTGTATTCTCATAAACGTTTTCAGTAACGTTTATACATGACATTACCAAATAGACACACTTCACAAATGAAGCTTATATAAGGGGAAATCGGTGCAAATCGGTTATCCCGGAATATTGGTAAATCTTACTTCGCGAGCCTTTGACGCCTCCGAACGTCGCGCGATTGCATAAAATACGGAGATGACATGGCAATTATCGGGGACAGTACGGTCTCTCATCGCGGCGTCTCTCTTGGAAAGTTGCGCCGGTTGCGCGTCGCCGAAAAAAGAACGCTGGGCGCTGCAGGCGCCTATGGCCACACACCGTAAAGCGAGACAGGTGCACACGGCGAAGACACAACGCACAAATATGATAACGGCAAACGAGCTGTCTCGCCGCAGGTATGCGTGTGTGTGTTGGTGCCGTCTCCTCTATATATATTTTATAATTAGCGGCGGGCTCTCTCTCTCTCTCTCTCTCTCTTCGATAAATCAGAGCGCCGCCCAGGCTTAAGACTTAATTAAAAATTTAGTCAAAAACCAATTAGCAGCCACGGTGGATTAACATATTTCTAATTATCTGGCGGACACTTTCGGCCGCCTTATCGACTACTTGCCATATATGAAGCCGACCTGTCGATGACTGTGCGATACATTCGATCGCCCGCGCGTATTTTTTTTCTTTCTTTGCCCTGCCTCAATATGATGCCTTATTTGAAAAGTTACGCTCGATCAATTGCATCAATTGTTATTTGCAAATTAGTCAATCGCGAAAACCTATTCGAATTATTGATGACGTCCTTTTGCTGATTCTTTTGATTTTCTACGAAACTGCTTTTTATGTTACTTACTACTTTTCGTTAACTTTAAAAACTTAAAAAATAAATGTTTATTCTACAATTTATCTGTATTCATCCGTGCATAGAATTCGTAAATGTTTCATCAAGGGTTGAAAAATCGATGGAAAGAATGTAAATACTGAAATCTTTTATTTCGCTATAATATACTTCCATGGATAAATTATCATCTTACATTTATACAAGGCGCATAGGTACGTCTAGAACCACGCCACATTCGTAACGTTAGCTTTTACTGTCTATGAGCGATTCCGTCTCCCTCGATTCACAATCGACACAAGCGGATACATAATTTACACGCACTTGTCTTGTCTTCTTGCATAGAAAAAAAATTTAATAAGTCTGAAAGATATCGAGATTAGGTGAACTACGAACTGTATACTTGCCGATGAGGAATCAATGCAATAACCCATTCTTTATTTATAGCATCTATTAGAGATGTCACTGATGCAACTTTTAAAAATTTCGCGACTTAGATTTGAAAAAAATTCTAATATAAACGAATAGATTTATTTTCTTCAATATAAGGAATTACTTTCAGAGAAATGACTAATACATTTGATTTCGACCCTTTCTCTATTAATGCTCTCAGACTCGGAATTATTTAAACGTACCTCTCACATTCACGTCGCTGCATTCTCTCGATCAGTCCACATTAAAAACACATCTGCGAACGAACGTTTGCTAGATCCAGCGCGGTTCAAATCGTTAAAACTAACGCTCTCGTTCCTCGCGATTCCTCTTCTTGACGGTAATCAAAGCGTCCTGTACACGTGTGTATATACATACGTACACCCATAGTTACCGTACGAACGCGTATCTATTTACACTATGTACACTCGTGCTTTTTCTTGAGATCAAAGTTTCGTGCACCTCTCGAGGCGCCGATATACGTACGTATTCCATCGTCTCGAGAAATTTACTCGACGATGTTTCTTCGAGCTACAGGTCTCCCAAACGATAGTTTCGGACTTAACGTATCGAAATTCAGATTATCTGTATCCCTCTGGAGATAAGCCATCCGGATTAACCCTCAAGTATTGTCACTATATAACCATTCCAATTTCGACTTCCAACGTTAAATGGTAGATCTCAATATCCTTGGTATCGGCAGAAGATTGGACAATTAAACTCGAACGGAAGGTGGACTAATAAATAAGAGTGGCCGGAAAACTTGAGGCAATTTTCCTGCTTCACGTAAAAGAAAGATCACTTAAAATCCGTTTTATGGATTTATTATTAATTATTTAATTAGACTTCTTTCAGCTTTCTGGTTTCTGAAGTTCTCAAAATCTTGAGTTCTAACATTTTTAGCACTTGCTCTCTTAAACCTTCAAATTTTCAATCTCTTTAGCTTTGAAATCTCCAAGCTCTTAGATTTTTTAACCGTTATCTTCGTAAATCCTCGCTTTCTCCAGTTCCTAATTCTCAAAATTATCGTGTAAGTATCGTCTGGAATTAAATTCCCGAAGTTTGGATTCTCCTTCGGATTCTTAAATAAATGTGCAGGTTTTCAAATCCATGAATTCTTGACTATTCATAGATTCTGCGTCATCGAATCCCATTTGTGAGCAGGTTGGGTCTTCAGACGATGACATTAAGAATGACTTCGAATTACACGCGTATTATATCTTGGAATATCATTATTAAGGTCGGTGCCCAGGCGGCCCCATGAACATGGCCGCCGCTGCTGCAGCATGGGTGTGCCTAGCCATGGCAGCTGCAATGAAGGGAGGTACTCCTGGGGTACCAGGCGGGCCCACCCCAGAGAACATCAGCCCCGATCCGAAACTGGGGTGCAGCAGGGGCCTCGCGGATAGTCTTAGCTTCTCTATTTCCGCCTCCTGAAGCCGCTTCGCCTTGGCTCTTCGGTTTTGAAACCAGATCTTCACCTGAAACATTACAGTATTTTCGATTTAGGGCAATAACGAACGAATTGATATTATACAAAATTCGTTCATATATCACTTCATTAATTCCTCAAGTATCTCTCCGATACATAACTTGAGATTTAATAGTATAAGCTTTAAATATTTTTATAACATCAGCGGTAATACGAAGTCTCTTCAGAATCAATCGTATTTTAAAATAAAATACAAATAAAATCAAACGAATTAAGATTTTTATTACACATTATTATTAACAATATTATTAAACACATAGAAGTAAAATTAGTGATTTGAGAACGAATCTTTTTTCCACGAATCATTAAAAATATTAGTTCGTAAGGTGTTGAATAACATGAAAAATCATAGATTCTAATGTCGTATTGCATTATATCATGCGACACACCTGCAAACATTACATAAGTGCCATTATTGGTTGATGTCGCGTTTAACACCAGCGGCTGGAAATTTACAATCGACAAATAGCATATTCAAACTGCGCGAGTTACTGCAAACGTCTGAGAATCCATAATTAATAAAATTACGCAGTAATTTTACTATTTAACGCGTCACCACCAAGAATGTGGTCTAAAACAAATAAAGATTTTCTGCGTAAAACACACGCGAGTCATTTAGCGTATCGTTAGACAAAACAGTCGGCGGAACATTCAGTTTCCAGCAGGAAATTATCGACGTATCGAGAAATCCTCGATGTCATAAGACAGCGACACGCCTAACACTCGAGTTTATACACGCAGATGTACATGTCGGGTCAACATTAAATCGCGTTTAATTGTTATTTGCACAGTCGTCGCAAGCGTCGTTTACGCAGCTGTCGCTTTGAATCGGTTAATTTGCGGCATTTTTGGTTCGAGAATGGGAAATATATTTTGGGACTCTGAACACTTATTTTCGGCAATACATGAATAGGATAAATACTGTGCATTCAGACGTTCTCTAGAAAACATAAGAAAAAAATAAAACGATTTTAAAACTTTGTTTAATTGTTTTGAAAACGTTTCAATTTTATGGACAATTTTAAATTACTTGTGACAACCTGTGCCAATTAAACTTACGTAACTAAACTTCGTTTGATATAAACCATTGAAAGTTACATTGAAAGAAACAACGATTTTACTGAAGTATCTAAAAATTTATTAGATACAGCTTTCTGAAAATAATTTTGTCGAACTATTAAAATAATTATGTAGAAAACTGAAACTTGATTTTGCAATAATGTTGCAAAAAATTTTGACATTCTAGCAAGTGTCTTCATAATTATTTTGATAGTACAATAAAATTATTTTTAGATCTGTATTTAGCTAAATTTTTAGATACTTCAACGAAATTGTTCTTTCCGTGTAAAAATTTCGGCTAAATTAAGCCTAAGATAGAAAACGGAACGTAGCATCCAAATTGTTATTATATTCCTGTATAATATACGAATTAAAATTAATTCCAGGATTGAGTATTTAATAAATACTAAAAGAGTGTCAACTGTCTATGCTTTCTCTTCGCCATTATAAAAGAATCAAGTGATAAGTTACTACGTGTGATCATATGGATGAATATCGCCACAGCGTGAGTGTCACGATTTGAATTGTAGACATACCTCTTTGTCCGTAGTGAATAATGAGAGAGAAGAGAGCGCGATCGAAGGAATGGTTTGGCGATTTAAACGACACGAGGAGATGGCGGGGTAATCGTAGCTTATCTAAGCAAATGAATGTGCGACGTAGCTTCATTTCGACTGATGCATTGTAACGAATGCGCAAAGTGTAGCTTAGCACGCTAACCGGCGCGATAATAGCCTACTCTGTTACATACATGGCAAAGAATCACGATATTCCAAATGGAGAAGAGCACAGATATTATAATAATAATATTCGCGACATATTATAATAAAAATTTTCGTGAAAGATAAATTTGCAATTAACTATTAATTTGAGCGTAAAGATATTAAAGATGTGTAAATATTAATTTAAGACACGAAAGTACTATCTTTCGTTTTAAAAGCACGCTAATGTAATTAGTTTATTATCGTTCAATAAAATAAATATAAACAGATAATTTTAATGACTTTTATTAATGACCTCATTAATCGAAGAATACCCCATGCACGTTTGATTCAATATCAGTTTTAAAGTCAATATGTATTCCTTTTTTACTCGTTTTATGTTATATTTATTGGGTAATAAGTAAAAATACGTTCTTCTCATGCGTTTTATGTTAATTACGATCAATTTGTATTAATTTATTACAGAACGCTTTTATAAATAGCGTTTCTTAACATACATTTATGTTGAACATTTATGTTTCGCTGGAGATCGTTACATAAAATGAGACTTTTTCAATTCGCTAAAAGAGCTAATTATTCGTATGTCAACTGTCCAGCGTCTCACCTGCGTTTCCGTGAGGTGAAGAGACGACGAGAACTCCGCTCTTTCGGCTATCGTTAGGTACTGCTTTTCGCGAAACTTTTTTTCAAGCGATAACAGCTGCTGCGTCGTGAACGGCGTTCTTGGCTTACGGTTCGGTTTGTGCTTTCTGAGAGTGCACCTAACCGGGCCTGGTCCGGGTCCCGGCAATCTTAAGTCTCCTGAAATCAAAGAGAAGACATGCGTTCTGATAGGATTTGACTTCGTATCCCTTCGTATGAATAATTTTAATCGTTAGTATACACGATAATTTTCTTTACTACACATGATGGGTTGTTCGTGTCTCAAGTTAATTTTCATCACTTTCACAAATATACATTTCACAAAAAAAATTATTAAGTGATTCTTACATCACGTATGCCTTAAATCTTTAGGAAGTATTTGTAAGGTTGTGTATATTTAAATAAATTGTGTACAAATGTTGTAACTAATTACTTAATGTTCCTAGTTTTTCGAAGAGAAGAAACCGTACAGGACACAAATATTTAATCGTGTGTACTAAAAGTAATAAATAAATTAGCATTTACAGTGAGCTCTTAATTACTTCAGAAAAATGCAAATTGAAGTGGATATTGTTGCAAAAAGTTTAGAAAGTTGATTATCAACGAAAAACATAAGATTTTTATTAGAAAATCATTCAGCATCACAGTTCGATCTCACTCGTTCTCGTTTCGAGTTGATTCGAACCGCTATTCCTCTTTAAAAAGAGAAGAGATGGGGATTAAAATAGCATTACTCTGCTGCACCACTCTGCTATCAGCATCATTAGAGAGAGATACGTTAATAATGATATTCGCGGACATTTGTATCTGTACTATTAAAACGCCAGTCCCGTCTTCTTGCACTCATCGAATGATAATTAACCCCGGATGTGCAACGTTAGTCGTTAATTTACGATCACCCGTCTCGGCAAGATGCGTTTTCATAGGTTTCGCATGATGAAGCGATTACGACCTCGCAGTACCGGCTGAAGGGAGGGCGCAAATTAAATCATAAAAAATAAATCGCGCTCGAATGCTCAACGAACGGCGCCTAATTATCGACCCATCATCTCAGTCTCCTGCATCCGGCGCGCATGATTATCATTGAACGTCGTTGTTTACGATCGGCTCATGTACGTGCAATTAGTTGGTACTGCGTAAAGTTTCGCCACTTCTCCACGGTAGCGCGATTATATCCGGCAGCATTCCCGCACCTTGTCATTCATTTGTAAATCCATTTTAAGCTGACCACTTCGTTAAAATTTACTTAAAAATAAAAGATAAAAAAATGACCGTATCCTGTATAAAGTAGAAATATGTGTAGCGAGGGCCTATGAACGTTTATTTATTTTTTTATTTTAGACCGCGATAATTAATATCCCACGTTAGAGATGGGAATTTTTCAAGCGACGCACAAGGGACCAAATGAAGTATTGACATCTCTTAAAAATTACAGTTGGCTTGCCAATAACTCTTCTTAGCGCCCGCGCACCATTCTATAATTAGACATATTATTTCCCTATAACACACGCCACACTATCTCGCGCCGCATTCAAAATAAGCGACTCGTATGAGAGGAAGAGTAATTGATATCTCTCGTGGAAGCAACCCTGCGTCGGCCAGATGCGAAGTTACATCGCGACTTTGTACGGCTACACCGTGCTGGCACCGTGAAAAAGTGTTTTCGACATCCTGCACGACGAAACGATGACGATTTCGCGACGCGGCGAGGAGGGCATCGTGTGGATTCCGAGCGCTAATTAACGTTCGACCGAGTACAAAAAAGGCATAGACCGCCGGCATTGTCGACCGGATCAGTCGAGACACCGGTATCACGTCTTCCATTCTCGTTGCACCGCCAGTTCCCCCGTTTCACGTGTCATTTCGAGAAGCTTGCTGGGTTTACGCACGTAACTGATCAATATGTTCTCCCGGGAGGCTAATTAATTTCTGCTAATTAAATACCTATCTGGATGAATCGAAAGTCGCGGATCTATCCCCTACCACTTTTTTTCGCGTTTAAGAACATCGTGTGCGAGTCGTGACAACGCACAGCGTAATCTTTTTATCAAACGTATCACTAATTACATGTTATTGCCATTCGGTGATATATTTTTATTTTTATTTTTATATTAACATAACGGTGTTGGAAATTTGCTGCCTTGAGTCACCGAGCTAATGGATTATTAACACTCGAGTTACAATGTTACTTGTCTTGGAGAAAAGACGGGTCTAAGATGGATCTAATGTAAGTAAAGTGACTGATATGCGCGTTCGAGATTGCAAAAGGAATTACACAAGAAAGACACCGCGAATCCGCGCGTAGCCGGACAATCTGTCGTTACGTCGATGTCGCATCCATTCATGCGGTAATATAGCGATTTCATGTCGCTCATCGAAGTTGGCCATGCCGCGCACGTAACCGATCAATATGTTCTTCTTGACTGCTAATTAATTTCTGTTAATTACCCGACCGCTGAAACACGCACGGGTGCGGCTACATAGCCGCAACGGCCGTTGTCGAACTGATAGGTACACAATCAGTTCGCCTTCCATGTAAACTTTTCGGTTAGACAAACGTACGACGATAAAAGATTGATCCGGATCATCACCGAATGTCTTACCGCGTTAAATCAGCCTAATCAAAGAGAGACATCGTGTGCGACTGAATCGTAAATTGCTGTACACAAAAAAACTTTTGCTGAAGTATCTAAAAATTCAGTTTAATACAGATCTAAAAATAATTTTACGTACAATTTGCAAAATCAAATATGTATATAAATTTACACAGAAATATTTAAGCACTATAGATCCACTTTTACCGAACGTAGGATTTCTCTTATTTATTAAATTTATTCTCATCGGTCCAAATTCGTATCACAATTAAAAATAATTTTGTTGGACCATCAAAGTAGTTGCGTAGAAATTTCAAGTCTAATGAACAATGTTGCAAAAATTGACACCCTAGCAATCGATTTGAGCGTCCTATATAATTTGAACAGCCCAACAAAATTATTTTTAGATCTGTATTTAGCTAAATTTTTAGCTAAATTTTTAGATTTCAGCAAAATCCTTTCTATGCATTATTTATTAAAACCACGAGTTTTTAATTAAAATTAATATTTAATTATATTGGATTATAATAACGTATACGTACGGAAATCAGATTGTAGCATAAAGCATGAAATTTATTCTGTAATAATAAGATGAATATAATAAAATCTGACCTTTAAAATTGTGTGCGTAATCATGTTTGAGCGTATAATTCTTGCGAATATTTTTACGAGATGCAAAATCTTACAGAAGGCAATTGCAATCGTTATGCGACCACGACACTACTTTCATCAACGGATACTGAGTTTTCAGGGATGCCGAAGAGAGACGCGTTAGCCGGCAGACGGGCGTCGCGTCGGGCCGCTGTGGAACGGCCGAGCCGGGTAATTACGTCCATGGAATGATGAATCGTCCGAAATATTTTGTAGAACATCATTGGACGCGGGGCGGGCGTCGTTAATTCATTCCTGCGCGCGCAATCCAGATAAATGCGTACAGGCAGCGGTGTTCGAGCGTTATAAATGACGTCCGTATTCATAATTTTCGTAAGCCGCCGCCCAGCGACGGGCCCCGGGGATTATCGGCTGTATACGAGCCCCGTATCGCACCCCCTCCTCCCCCGAAATAACTGTCAGTGGTGAACGCTTAATGGAAATGGGCTAATAAGCTTTTCACTGTCTAATTTTTCAGAAACGACTTTTGTGCAGAAGATATGATATTTCGAAGAGATATTTCATTATCGAAAAGTGACGTATTTATAATACTTTATTACAAAAATAATTAAAGGCTATCTTGATGAATCTGGATTATTTTACGTTAGATAATTTTTTTCTCATTAACTTTTAGAAGGGAGTCCATTTTTTAACTTTACAATTTTTCCTTTTGAGTAAGATTTGTTTTTATTCGTTAAATTTTTATTGTATTCCTTGCCTCAAAATATGACATTATTTTAGTACTATAGTGGGACTTTCTCGTCCTGTAAAGATGAAATTCTTAGTGGAATTTTAAAGCCCGGGTTTTCATTTTCTGGTTAATTAATTACTTTTAATTTAGACTCAACCTCATGATAATGTAAAAATTGTGTTTTTTTTTAGTTATGATTAATCATTACTGGTTTTGTAGTATGATAACTTTAAAAAATACTCGCTACAAAATCTTTTTAGTTTAGTGATTAACCACTCAGGTAGAACACAGTCACAGTTAAGTCATAACGATATATCATAGGACGTCATCATGATAATTCTTACATTATCATTTGTCACTTAAAAATGAACTTATAAGTGACAAATAAGATGATTTTCTTATAATATTATTATGATTTCTATGTTCTAACACACTTCGACACGACTAGAAAAATACAATTTTTATGATACATTATCGTCAGATAAAGTCTTATCGCAAGTTAAACCAGAAAATGAAGCATCAGGCTTAAGTAAAATACAAATCGCTACAAAATTTGTTTAATTTAATTTAAAACAATATTTTCCAAATTTGTCTTACCTCTCGCAAAAATAGTATTTTATGCACGCGAATTTAATGGTTTGCGAAAAAAAATGGTTACATTTATTGTTAAATTTCTCTGTAAAGTATTATAAATACACACAATGATTCGATTGATGGTATAATAAGGAAATGTTGATTTGCATCATTCGGAGCTTCTTGTCGAAAATACCGAGGACTAAAAGACGTGGTAATTAAATGAATTCCTATAAGTGAACAATCATCTCGGGGCAAAAGCGACACTGCCACGACAATCGCGATAGCAATAATGGTGCATACCGAGTTGCTCCGGCTTTCGTTCAAAGTGCTGGTATAATTGGTGTCGCGCACCAATAGCGGAAAGAAAACGAGGGGGACAAATCATAAGAAGAACGCGGGGCGAGCCGAGGGGGCGAATGGTTTGTCGTTATCGTTCGCAAAAAGCTTTGCCAAGCGACATCGCACAGGAAGCTGAATGCGCTACACCAAACTTAACAGGCCACTTTAACAAGAGCAGTTTTTACCAGGGGTCTCTTGAATGCATTATGGATGTCGTGAGTTATATATGACTCTATCATGTCGAACTGTTAGCGATCCCGGCTGGCGTGCGGGCCGATCATCGCATTCTCGTCTTTTTCCGCTTTTCGTTTTCTGTCGGCAACGTAAACAGTGTGGAAAACAAGATATGGAAAACAAGCGCGTAGTTGCTCTTACGCATTCTCATCAATTTCGTTATTGTATCTATTTGTTGTCCCTCCATGATTTACTGTCAATACCGCTTTACATCAAGCGTTATATTTTCAGCCGGATTTTATTACGGTTGACACAAATGATGTAAATGCGTTTCATTCAATTATGCCACTTTGAGAGATACACGGGTCCATATAGCAGTCAGCTTTTATGCGTTCCCATTAGCTGCGGGTTCGCGTGTCTTTCCAATATTCCCTCATTCTCCGGTTACTATTCATGCTGCTTTACATCGAGTGTTATAAGCATTACTTTTAATTATATTACTCTCTCTCTTTGAAAGATAAAGCAATGAACGTAGCAGGTAATGTTCTCTTGTACGTTTATATTAGTTTTACGCTATTTTCCTAATATTCTCCCTTTTCCGATTTCACTGCGAATGTATGCTGCGTTAATTGTTTAATTATAATGTATTTAAGAAATGAGGAAAATTATACTGCGCGTAAATTTCTCCAAATTTCTCTAATAATTTTCTTCTGTTACTTGTCGCAAAATTAATTTTATTATTTGCGCAATTATGAAAGAACTTTGTGGATATTATCCATGAGATTATATTGCAGAAAAGTATAATAATGCAATGGGGACTTTTTCAAAAATTTGTAAAATAATTTATTCTTCAAGGCGATTCTTTCGCCATCCTCGTTAAACGTCCTAGAAGTAAATAATGTTGCGAATCTCGAAGTTCCTGCGAAATTATATCCACGCGTAATGAGGAACTCGTACTGTTTCCGAGAAAGAAATCTCTAAAACCATTACGAGACTCCTGGCGAGCATAAAAGTTTACGCGCGAGGCCAAATACAAGGAACGCTCTCGTCCTTTTGCACTCTCGCGAGCACTCGAGATGGAGTATCTCGAAGAGAGTACCACAATGTACGATTAACTCATTGCGCGAGAGGTGTCAGTTACACCTTAATGAGGTATTACTTTAATTGTCCATTAGGAATGGACTCAATGTAGTAACGTTCATGAGTCCTTTACTCACAAGACAACACGAATCTTTGCACTTCAACGTCTTCCTCCATTAGTGGAATCTTCTACTCGCTTAGATAAATGGTAATGACTACGAATTGTGGGAGAATTAATAATGGCTCAATGTGCATTGTCATCGTAATTGATATCATATTTCGAACGTGAAAATTCCAATAGATTGACAATATTGAGTGAACATGAACCGAGAGAGGTTCAACACAAATAACTATAAATATTTAGTCAATGGATCTTCGTTCCTATGTGTGTATTTTTACAATTTCCAGTTTAAGCAAACTGATTATTTGTCGGTCTTAAATAATAATCAGCGTGCAGTTTGTTTGAATTGAAAATTGTAAAAATTCATGCACAACACAAAAATATTCTAGATTGACTGAAATATTTGTCATGTTTTGCATCAAATAGATATAATTGAATCGGACAAAGTTTATTTAATTCGTATCTTGATTCTTGTTTACAGCAATCGAATTTTCTTCAAGCAATTGCTAATCTACGCGAGATAAGAGAGAGCGAGAGGTCTTGCAGTTGGTAATTAATAAATCGTAACTAATTCTCTCGTTTAAGTCATCGTAAATTATTTATCAGTAAAGTGTTCCCAAGCGACGTCTAATTATCGCGACTTGGAACCGCCACGGCTTTCCTTCTCGATTTATTAGCCAATTACAATCCATATATTCGCCACCAGTCATGAAACAAGATCTGTATCTTTGTACGGCTGATCACTTTTGTACCTGTCCCGAGCATCGCGTTGCAGTTGCTCTCTCTTTCGAGGTTTCTCCTTCCTCATTAGGCAATTACGTCGAGTTTTATCTGCGTGTCCGATTTTTCGCTCGCGTCACTTCGTGGTCACTCCTGCCTCCATCACACTAGAGGCGATGGAAAACACATTCCGTCGTCGCTTTGTAAGCGCCGATCATGCGTCCTAATAGCCTAGATATACGACATCGAGTCCGACGCACCGATCGAACTTTCCGCGCCGATCGTAAGCATTTCAAGGAACCGATTGCGGCTTCGAACCGTAACATGAACTTGAATTCCGCGTTGACATTTGTGGAATAAACTTGGAAAAGACCTGCAAACCGATCGAATTGCAATTCTGTGCGGAAGTCGATACCAACATCGAGTAGAAGGAAAATTACGACCTTACCTAGTTTCTCGTATAAAGTAAAACCCTCGATAAGTGAACGATACTAATTCTTATACAGTTCTTGGAACTAACGGTTAATGCACGTTTATAGCAATTCTATGTCCACAAATATTGTACGACATTTGATAATACTGTACGATAAAAATGTTAGATGAAATGAATTTTGATTGGCAAAAGAACAGAGTAACGTAATAATTTCTTAACTAATTAATTGATAACTACAAAAGCTATTCTATGTATTAAAAAATTGTAAAAGCTATCAGTTAATTTCATTTAAGTGAATCAGTAATAAATATAAATTTGCATCTCCAATATTTCCGCTAAAAAATTTATTCGATTATTTATTGGTCCGTAAGAAAACGTGATAATTTTGAAATTATAGCTGTCATGTATTCGATCGTTTATTTAAATTAATAGTATGAAATCCTGCATGTGAACAAGTTCTATCCCAAAGTCACACGACAGTCAGTGATTATGAAATATAGAATTATATACTGAAGAATGCAACGGATCGTTTCAATCAACGATTTAATCAAACTGCTGACTGAATTGATATTGGCAATATTCATATCTTCAGTTAATGACTGTGATAAAATATGATATGTATTCGTCGAAATATAAATATTTATCTCTTAAATTTGCATCATATTTAAGGTCTATTAGTAGTCTTGTTATGTCTGTTAAATTTTTCCGGTTAAGAAGAAATTATTAGGGAAAAGATATCGTGCTGATCGTGATGGCAGTTTTAAGGTCTCAGCTTTAAGCTTCAATCACGATGAAGGTAAACTGGAGTACGATCGAATTCTTTGGCACGTAAGACCGACAATGTCCTCCTACTCGCGTGATCCACGGCACTAATGCAGAACGTTATGAGTCTGCATGTCATGCATTAACAGTTGCATTAAGAGTTTGCGTTTTCAATCTGATTGCCGATATTGTATCCGGTAGAATCGCAAAAAACAAATACAGTGAAACTACACTTGTTTGCGTGTAATACTCCTTTTAAATTTCTTAGATGTAACTTATTGTCAAAGAATATTCTTTCGCGAATAATTATCACGCTACTAAACTATGATTACAATATTAAGTTGAAAGATGATAACTTTCGGCATATCATTACCATCTTCTGCGAGAGATTTATTTGACAAAGTCTAGTAATGTAAATCGCAAAATGTTTAATGTGCTGACGTGAACATGCGAATGAGTTTGCTTATTAATACATAGCATGAAATTTCACACATTCTAAAATGCAATAGACGATCTTAACTCTTACTCCTCTTTGTAACGTCACTAGTACACTGTTAGATTTATAGTGTTAAATTTAATCTAATTTAAGCCGCCACTGCTCTTACTCAGTGTACCGTTATTTTATACTAAAACAATGATTAAATTTTACATTATATAGTGTCAAATTTAACCATTATTTTAATATAAAATAACGATACATTGAGTAAGAACAGTGGCGGCTTAAATTAGATTAAATTATTATCGTAAATTATTATTTCGCTTTTTAATATATACTAGAAAGTTGAAACTAAGTAAAATTATGGTTGAAAACCATTTCATTACGGTGTAATCTTTAATATAAGTGTAAAACGTGAATGACTCCATGATGGCAGGTGAGAAAAAAAAATGACGAGGGGGAGTAAGGGTTAAGCACGACATTCGTGCTAGTTTTACCGTTCGGGCTAGTAGGTCCACCATGTGGCGTGTAAAGATGTCCATGAGGATTGTGCGGATGCGGGGGTGGGGGCAGCCACGCGAACCCCGCCAGAGAATGCGGAAATCCCGCGGGGTTCCAACCGGGAGCGCCGGGTGCTCCAGCGAGATACGGCGGGCCCTGCGAAGGCCTTTGCACTCCGGGATGAATCGGTTGAGGCACTACCGGGCTAGACTTTTCCTCCTTCTCCTGGCTAGTTTCCAGGTCCCTCTCCAATTCGCAATCCGAGTCCATCACATTTAGATCCTCGGACTGGCCGACGCTTCTTATCTCATGGTCCTCGAGATCCAAATGATCCGTCGTACGGTCTCCTTCTAACGAGCGATTCGCTTCGGAATCACTACGATCGTCGAGAATCTCTCGTCTGCTCGCGGGCGATACAGATCTCGGATTGGTAATCCTGTCGATCCTTTCGTCTTCTTCCTGAATATGCTCTTGTTCTCGTTGGAGCATCGTCTCACTGATCCCACTCGGCGAATTGGTCGTCAGTCGGTCTCTCGGGATCTCCTGGTCTATTCTGATAGGCGAGGACGACTTGTCGTGACTCGTCCTAGAGAAATCCTTCACCGTAAGCATCTCTTGTCGAGCGGGCGGGTGATCTTGCTCGAGTCTGTTTGGATGATGATGATGGTGATGATTGCCGAAGCCGACGAGACCGTGAGGACTCAACCTAGCGAGTAGTTCTCTACTCTGAAGTCTCTGCTGTTCTATTAGGAGCTCTCGATACCTCGCCTCCATCTCAATATTTTTCTCGGTATCCATTCTGTCATCGTTATCTCGCCTAGTCGCGAAAGTGCCGCCGCCGATGGCACTCTTCTTCGTGCCACTTAGCAGGGCATCGACGCTAAAGCTGATCTTGCCGCTTCGTGGCTTTAAATTCGAAGATGCTGACGTCGGAGTAGCCATGTCGACGTCCTCGCATAAACGATCGCTACCGGAATCTGGGCCCGTCACTACTCCTTCGCTGTTGCTCATGCCGATTCTGTGTCGGCCTCTTAAGTTCTCGCGTTTCACAAGTCTCGAAATACGACCGACAATTCTAATCAATCTATAAAACTACACTTGATAGTCATCCGAAGATGCGAATAAAAAGATCGTTCGGTCGCCTTCTTAGTTCCATGTTGTGTATCCAATGTTCATTAAACTGCAAATCCTAACGAAACTCCGAATAAGTCGCACCTTAAAGTGTCAGCTAATAATCGTTGTATTAGCTTCTCACGGACGTCCGTTAAAGGATGATGGACGTGATACATTGACGTCATCGAGCCGCAAGGCATTTTCAGGTGTCGATCAGTCACATCGCGATTCCTGAACGAAACTCGCTAACGTTGTAGAGACTTTCCGAGGCGCAGCCCGCCACCTTAATAAGTTTCTCGCTCCGTTATTCTTGGAATCCGCCGCATCGCCGCGGAATGACCCAGCCGACACGAGCGGATTCCTCCATTAGAGTCAGAAGAGTGTTTTTAAGATATCAACATGATGATCCAACTCTTCTTACCTCTTAACTTTTATACTTTTCGCATCCTTGCCGATTCTCAGCTGATATTCTCATACGGCAATCCTCTTTTCGCGATACTTTGTATTCCTTTCACTCAGACAGCGTTTAACGGATCCGTATAAAAACATTTAAACGAAGCGCGCAGAATAGAATCTACGCTGTATAATACCCTCTTTGCGAGAGACGATGTGTCGTGGATGAACCTCACGTTGACAGCTTTCGCTGTCATGATAAATTCCAATTAATTACGAACGATTATTCTAATCCGTCGTGTGTCGTGTATCCCAATGATATTTTAAAAGATATTTCCAGCATTGAGCTTCCCTCGTTTTAAACTTGGATCTTTCTTCATCATGACATGATACATTACGATATTTCGTCTATTTTATCGTTAGGTTACAAACATCAATGTTCGCATAACGACGTACGGGATCCTTGGAAGTAATAACTTGGAAAGGTCAAATGCTGATTTCCAGGATCAAGAAAGTCTGTCGCTGTCATCGACGCGTTCCTCAGCACGTTCCATTAAGCGGACGTTGATACACGATCTCTTCCAATGCTTCTAGGTTTCAGTCGAAGCACTCAGTTTCTTAGTGCACCAACAACGCGGCCTCTCGCGACCTAGACGGTTTACCAAGGCGGTCGAGTGCGTACTCTAGCTCTGATCGCGCGACGATGAGGACACAAGGTGGGAGTGCTGTAGTCGTCCCGCGAAAAGAAATGTCGGCAGTGGAGTACAAATGTAATCGGTTGTAATCTGTGTAATCTGCCGCGTGGTGACCGCCACTGCCGCGGAAACGGCACTGATTACCAGCTC